TAGTTCCAGTTTAGAAGACAAAAAAATGTAGGAAAATATTGACATATGCAGAAAAGAGGAGCTCATCTATTTTGTTTTTACCTCTTTATTTTCTCAGGGGGAAAAATGGGAAGGAGTCTTGCAGGTCACAATCCATTTGAAGTCACATGCCCTTTCACAGGAGTCACAGATATCCTGTATATCTAATATTTATGATTCGTAACAGTAGCAAAACTACAGTTATGAAGTAGCAAAGAAAATAATTTATGATTGGAATTCGCCATAATATGAGGGACAACATTAAAGGGTTGCAGCCTTAGGAAGGTTGAGAAGCACTGCTTTAGGAAACAGTGGCATCTAATATATTCATTTGTATATCAAGGGACAAGTAATGCTGGAAAGAAACTAATAAAAGAACCAATAAACATAATAGAGCCCATTAACTCAGCTAGATTCAAGAATATTCCTCAGTTCCTGTCCCTGTCCTGATCTTGACCAAGTCCTCTGTGCTCAGGCCCAGGATTCTCCAGTTCTAAGATCTCTAACTATCGCTGTGAGGTACAAGTGTTCCACTGCCTTTCTTCCCTTCTAGCACTCTTGGCCACAGTGCTTTGAGTAAGTAACATAGTAGCTGGAACATAGTAATTGTGAACTTTTAGCTACAGCTCTGCCATTAGTGGACTCCTGCTCCAGTGTATTTGCTGAGTTTCACTTCTTTAAGGGTGGCTCAGGGCTCCTGGTGTGGGTGGGTTATATTGTTGGGAGGGTGAGATGGAAGACAGTACAGCACAGGTTTGTCAGTGAGGCAAGTAAAAGGGAGGGGCAGAAAGTAAGACTGTGAAGACCAGATCCAAGCCAGTCTCCATGCAATACTCCAATGGATCTCCCTTTTCTCTCAGTTAATTTAGGACAAGCACAAGTCAGCAATGGCATCTGGCCACAGGCAACGTGAATCTCTTCAACTCAGACTGTCCAGAGATAGCTGATGCCTGGCTCTCTATATAGACAGAGTCAAAGATGTGGAAGCCCTAAGTTTTCTCTTCCAAAAGACGAATATGGAACAAATGTGGAACACAAGCATTCCCCCTACCCAATAACACAGCACAGCTACCATTTCCCTGCAAGGCTCTCTAGCTGACTTCTCTTCTTCCCCCCAGGACAGATGACAACTCTCATTGTCCCTTTATTACTCACTATCTTATTTCCAGCGCTGGGCACACTGCCTGGCACCCAGTAGGGATGCAATAATGCCTGCCGAATAAATGCACCATTAAACACTGAACATCAACATAAAAGCACAGATCAAATCGCACACAATTAAAGAGAAAATGTCCCCAGATGAGTTCAATGTGGCTTTGAAAGGAAGAACAAACAAAAATGACAGTAGAATTAGAAAAGAGCAACAGACAGGAAGGGCCAAGGTGCACACCTTTTCTGAGTCTTGAGAAAAACCTTGTACCCATGTAAGCTTATTCATTAAGTAGAAAGAAGGAAAGACACACTTGTTTTCTGCTTTCCTAGTTTGGTCAAAGGATCTCTTCCTTAGTGTCATTACTGACCCAAATAAATATATTTTCATCTTGATATGGAAGCATCCCAGAGGTTACTATGTCATCCTCATGCTTTGCCAAGTACTTTTTTCAATTAGTAGAAAACTATGAAGCCCCCAGAAGGGGCAGGCAATGAACAGGGTAAAGAAGGAATTTACTCTTTGTCATGAAAGTAAAGTGAAACCAATGAGAATATCCCATGATTAACGAGAATACTGTGATTTAAAGTCAGAGTGCTATTTCACACTCCAAACAGTCAAGGGAAGAGGCAGAGAGATTTTAAACAGAGAAGACAGAGTGCAACTTCAAAGTAAATAGAGCTAAGAAATAAAGACAAAAGTAGCACCCTCACTACCAAATATCTCTCCCATTTGAATTTGACCATGGTGTGGAAGAACTTTAAAAACCATGTAATATTCAGGAAGATATTTGGGCAGGTGCTATTAGAAGTCTAACATCTGTGCTAATGTGATATTTCTCTCATGTATGCATACCCAAATACATATATCAGGCTCATGACTTGACCTTAGACAGTCTTGTATCCTTTAAAGTAATGATGACAGCTCAACATTATATAAGAAGAATGTTTGGGGAAATGACTCAGTGAGTAAGAGCACCTGCTCTGTAAGAAAGAGGACTTAAGTTTTAATCCTCAGCACCCACTTAAAAAGCCAGGCATAAATGCACATGCCTGTAATTCCAGCACTGAGGGGCAGAGAGACAGATGTTGAGAGCTCACTGGCCAGATATCATAACAGAAAAGCAAGCTTCGGGTTCAAAGAGGGATCCTTTCTTAAGGCAATAAGTGGAAAAAAGATACAAAACACCTGATGTCCTGCTGTGAACTCCATGTGTGCAAGCACAGGTATGTCTATCTTCACATTCATATGTACCTCACATTTATGAAAATAAGAAACTAACCAGACTAGAAGAGCAATGGTATAAATCTAGTCTTACATACATTCTTAAAATAATAATCCATAGTACTATTGACAGCAAAAGCCACAGAACATTTCAAACACTCGAAAACCAATATCCTTTACTACTGCCTCCCAGGCTTTCTTAGCAATCAAGGCATCATTTATTAAAAAGAAGAGAGAGAGAGAAAGAAGGATGAGGAAGAGAAGGAAGAAGAAAGAAGGAGGAAGAAGAAAAAGGAAGAAAGAAGGAAAGAAGGAGGAGGAGAAGAGGAAGAGGAAGAGAAAGGAGGAGGAGGAGGAAGAGGTATATCAACACTTGGGAACTGGAATAGGAGGATCAAGTAATGAGGGTAAAAGGGAACGAGAAAGAGAATACAGAAAGATATAGTAAAAATCAAAGGACATTTGAAGGGTAGTATGGAAACCCCAAACAGAAGAAGCTTCCTAAAATACATGAAGCCAAAGAAAGGGGAAGACAGAGCTGTAACTGGCCATATCTTTTCACCAAATAAAGAGTCCAGTACCAGGAATGGGTTACACCTAACTGTACTACTGGTTAAAGGGGCCCCGTGGGTACCCACACACAACCCAGGCATTGTCAAGACTATAGGTTGCTCTTTATAAACTAGACCCTACTGAACACTTACACAACTCATTGAACATGGAAAAACTGAGCTAGTGTCTACATAGTTCCTTCACCCCCATGGACAAGAATCTTTGGTGCAGGAAGGTATACTGCACACTACCCAATAAGAACTGTAAACACCTACCCAACTACAAACTATTTGATCTACAATGGTGTCCTGCCTTCAAATAATGTTAGTACAAAGCTTGTGGGAATAATCAATCTAATCTATATCTGATTTGACTTAAGGACCACTCCATGAGATAGAACCCATACCTGATGCTGTTTGGGTGACCAAGAACCTGAGACTAGATAGCCCAGGGACTGAGGGTAAAATCAAATACTACTGTTCTACTAAAAGAACATAACAACAAAATGACTCATAATGACATTCTGTTATACTCATAGATCAGTATCTTACTCAGCTATCATCAGAGAAACTTCCCCTTGCAGCAGATGGGAACAAACAGAGATGCACAGCAAGACAATACACAAGAGAGTTAGAGACCTTAGAACTCTCAGCCCTAAATGGGATGTCACTATCAAATCCATCCCATCAGGGTTCAGAGAACCCTGCAGAAGAGGAGGGGGAAAGAATGTAAGAACCAGAAGGGAGAGAGGGAGGGAGGAAGGGAGGGTGGGAGGACGCCAAGGAAACAAGGTCCTCTAAATCAACAGAATGGACTTGCATATGAACTAACTCACAGAGACTGAGGCAGCATGCACATAGCCTTCACAGGGTCTGCAACAGATAGAGTCCTTGAGCTGAAAGGTGAAGTGGGCACATGCCCCATCCCATCCCTAAGCCAGCTGCTATCTCCAATTGATAAACACTTGTAAATGAAAATTTTGTTTTCTCCAAGGGAGTTTCACTGGGGAAACAAGCTACTTTTAAGGGTAGACCTCATGGCACTAGAGGGCCAATAGAATACTCAATGTAGGTTTCTTTTGTCAAAATGTTGTATCAGGGCTGTTATTTATTTGTTTGTTTGTTTGTTTATTTATTTATTATTTATTATGGCTTCCAGTTTTGTGTTTTTATGGAATTCCTGAGTGTGTGAACAATTGGGTCTCTGCATCTCTGTTTCTTGTGCTCTTTTCCTTCTGTATGTTTGTATTATCCTATTCCAATGTGTTGTTTTATCTTATTGTATTATATTTTGTTTTATTATTATCCCTTGGAAGTTTGTTTGCTTTCTAATACAGATGGTAAAAGGGAGGGAATCTGGATGAAAGGGCAGTTGGGAAGGAATTGGTAGTAGACAGAGGGGAAACTGTAATCAGGATATATTATATATTTGAGAAAAAATAAAAAAAATAATATTTTTTTCTATAAAAGTAAAATAAAATTTTAAAATATACACAGTAAAAAGGTATATCAACACTGGATATTCTACATAAAACTATATATAGTGAATTATTTGCTGACTACGAAGTCTCCTAAACTGGGCTTTCCTATGAACATGTATCCAATCTCTTCAATTCCTAAAGAAATGCAAAATTCATTTTTACTTTAACTAGTTTAAAATGACAGTAGAGTTGACTTTCATGTTTGTGATTTCTTATTGGTGCTATCCTTAAGCTCATATCCACAGCATGGCTCAGTGGTAGCATGCTTGCCTGGCATATACACCGCCCTAAGTTCAATCTCCAGGACTACATTAAAAACAAACAAACAAACAAGCAAACAAACACTGGCTGAGAAGATGGCTGAGTGAATTAATCTGCTTGACTTTGAAGCCTGAACACCTGAGTTCAACCCCTGCCATTAAAAGTGGAAGGAGAGAACTGATGGTCAAAATTTGCACTGACCTCCACCTTTATACTATGACATGTGCATCTGTGGACACACACACACACATACACACACAGGCAATAAATAAAATACCTTTAAAAAATCAGCATGGTTGTCTTGTTAACTCCTACCTTTGAACTTATGGAACACGGCCCATAGCTCTGCAATGTCAGTTGCAAAGGTAATGTCAGTGTCTAGGACAATGACTCTCTCCAGGTTGGCAGGTAGAGTCTTGGTCAGAACCAGCTTCATCAGGCCATAAATCCCAGAGTAATGTTTGTTGGGGATCCAGGACACTTCAGACTGGACAGGACAGAATAGAGAGAAAGAGATTTGGGAGGGGGAGAGAGAGGGGAGGGAGGGGGAGAGAGAGAGAGAGAGATAGAGAGAGAGAGAGTTGGTAAAATAAGAAAAAGGAAAAAAATCACCACATGGATTCTTTGCTTAAACATTATAAACCATGCTGAGACAGAAATAAAATCTATTTTACAAACTTGTTAAATAAATAAATGAATTTTCTTTAAAGATCTGTTCATTTCGCTTTGCTATATCAAGTTTTTCTGGGAATAAAAATGTATTTGAATCAAGACAGTCCTAAAAATATTAGTTGTGAAGTAATTATTAAATGCAAATTCTATGCTGAGATTTTGAAAACAGACTTTTTTTTATTTTTAGAGAAGTTATATGGTCGACTGAAGAAAATAAGTATGTGAAAACAAAACAACATGAAATCAACCAAACAAAAAAAAAATCCCCTAGCACCTCATTGTTCATAGGTAGAATTATTACTTTAATTCATTAAACTTATGTGCCATTCAAGATCACTAAACCTCATGGTATTTTTAATGCTTATGCTTATGTCCACTTTAAAGTTATAATGAGATCAGTTGGTACCGCTGTCTCCTTTTCATCCTTATGGAAATGAGGGCCCTGTCAGAATCTGTATAATGCTGGTCATCTAAAAGTAATGGAGAATACAGAGTAACATGAAAAACCTCAGGGCTGCAGTGCTCAGATGACAGGAATACCAGTGTCTCCTAAGTGAGTGGCGTCAGCTGCAAGCACACACTTTCATAGTACTTGCTATCAAAATGCTGAGGCCCATACACAGCCTCAGTGTGATAAAAATCCTCATCTATGTAGGTCATTTGTGAAGACCATTGCGAGAAGAAGGGCATGGGGCATGTATGTGGAGGGATTCCATGGAAGTCATGGTCCACATTTTAATTTCAACAGATTAACACTTAGTATACACCTAATCAAGTTGGAGCTACCACCCCAGAATTCCAAACAATACTCATCTTTTTTGTCCTTATAAGTTCATTTAGAAGACACTGGTCTTTAAGAAAGTAAGTAAGAGCTGGATGTGAGTGGCTCTCATATATAATCATAGAACCTGGGAGGCCAAGACATCAAGGCCAGTCTGGGCTACAAAGTGAGAGCCTTCTCTCATTGCTGCTCTATTCACAATAGCTATGAAATTGAAACAGCCTAAATGCCCTTTATCTGACAGATGGTTAATGAAAATGTGGTATATATAAAGAAAATAAAATTATAAAATATGAAGGTAAATGGATGGAACTAGGAAAACATATACTAGATAAGTAACCCAAACCCAGAAAAACAAATGTCGCATGTTTTTTGACACCTGAGGCTCCTAGCTCCAAGTCTTCAAAGGTGACTATATAACTTGGAACAACTGCAGAAATCAGGAAAGTAAAAAGAGACAAGTAATCTGTTGCCTGGGGGCAGAAATTATACCTTGGTCAGAGTACAACATAATACCTTACCAATCACGGGTCAAAATGCAAAGTTGGGTCAGATGAATGGAAAGCAGTAAAGAACAGTGACCATCCAACCGCAACCCTACTCTAGAGCAGGCATGATGTAAACCTGTAGTTAGAATCTGCTGGAGGAGGGGCTGGGAAGATAGCCCACTGAGTAAGGTATTTGCTGAGCAGTCATCAAGAGGACCTGAGTTTCCATCATAATAACCCACATAAAAGGCGCACATCTCTAATTCCAGTGCTGGGAAGAGGGAACCACAGAGATAAATGTATCACTGGACCTCACTGACCAGCCAGCCTAATAAGGTTCCCAGTTCAGATAGCGCATTCTTCAACAAGTAAGGTGGAGAGCAATTGAGGAAGACACCTCACACCAACTTCTGGCTTCCAAATGCATGCACACACATGTTCACAACCACACACCCAAACCAAGAATCTGCCAAAGGATGGTCCTAGTTTTGTTTTGTTTTCCTGCATTGGGATCATCATAAACTACCTCATCCTTCCCTGGGAGTAGCCATCATTTTACAATCTAAGACCTCGGCAAGCAATTCCCTCCAATGTACTTTATAAAACTCTTCCTCATGTAAGCCTGGGCCTTTGGAACTCAGCTCCATTTCTTTCCTCCCCAGAGAATCATTCTGAACTGAAGCCTGGAAATCACAACTCCATGCTGCATAGCTGTGCTACTTAATCAGACCTTTGATTAACTTATCCATTTATTTTGGTAACCATCAAAGCAGGAGAGCTTGGCAAATACTAAGAGCCACAGTGTTGGGTTAAGCCATTTAATTAGATTGCCCTGACTCTGAGTTTTATTTTTAACATAGATATGAGACACTTGGATGCACTGCAAAACTATGAGACTACAGGAATAAATTAATCTCCACATGAACCCAGTCTTGAATGTAACCCCAAGTCTCCAACTTAATACATAATCAATTAAGTCCAAGTGTTCAATTAAATGTAAAAGAGACATGTGAATGAGTTTCTATTTAGGAAGAAAACCCCAGGAAAGGATAGAAAATGAAAGAATCATTGGTGGAAAAAATGTGAGGAATGGGAAGCAAATACATTTGTTATAATCAGCTCATCCCAGGACCTGCACGGCTTCTATTACTCACCTCATCTTCCCTTTCTTTGAAAGCCACAATCACATAAGGAGGCACCTCCTCTCTGCCTCAGGCTGAACTGGAGCTCCTCAAGAGAGCTATCCCATTCTCCCATGCATAGCATAATAACACACTGTGTTTCATTTTCCATGTCTGTCTCTTGCATTTGATTGAAACTCCCTGAGGCTGGGAAAATGTCCTTTTCACTCTGGTAGTAATCCACATGGTCAATGCTCAAGAATAGCTTGATGAATGTACAGAATCTTAGTTTTGCCTATGTCTGTGATCAAACTCTACCTTCAACACCTACTTTCACTTAGAGCAGAGATATCAACTGGAAAATACAAGGCTTCTAGGGTGGAGTAAGAAACACAATAGCACATTCTATGTGGAGGAGATTCTGTAATGAGGGTAACCTGTGTGACGTTTCTAAACTGTCTCTTAAGACATTCACAAGGTGTTGATTTTCCTCCTCCCCAGCAACAAGCTCCAATACAACAAGGGTCCTTAAGTCATGGGGACCATGGTGAAAAGAACATCCTGGGTTCTTTTCATCCTGGGAAGAAAGCTCAGTCTATGTAACCACTCACCCCAACACATCCAATAGAAGCAAAGTACCCACCGGAATCTTTCCCCACAGTAGCTAATATGCCAAAGGGTCCACATGATTAAAAAGATAATAAAGATGAAGTCAGCCTCATTGTAATGGACAGAATAGTATTCCTGTGGTGACTGTTATTAATTCTAAGCAGCATGGCTGAGGCTTTAATTACCAACAGTGTAATTGCACCCAATATTACAATATACTACACATACATAAAGGAGCAGGAGTGATCAGAGCTTACAAGTTCCTTCTCAAGTGGGGGATGAGAACACTGGCATTTTGAAACTCACCTTGCTGAAGTTCTGACATAATGTTATTCATTGGGAACTAAATGGAGTTTCCACAAAGCTCTGTAGGTGACTCTTGAGTATACTGAACATTTGGAAACCCTGTAAAACTGACCTAGAAAACCTGGCCAGTGTAGTGATGTGAGCATGGGGACATTGCTGATTCATTTCCAAAAGTGACTAATTCCACCCTAAGGAATGAAGGACAGTGGTGTGCCAGCCATGATGCCAAGTTTCTGGATTTTGATAGATAATACAGAGGCAAGTGGGGAGACTGGTTTAGGCAGGAAAGGATGCCCATTCTCATTTGGAAATGCTGATTCTCAGTAGCCCCTAGGATACTGCAGTAATGACAACAGGGCAAAATGCATCATCATTTACTGAGTGTTAAGCATTTTTGGGGAGAGCTTGTAAATTTATTAAACTCCTCCTAAAAGTCTTCCATCTGGTTGTAATTAACCACAGTACACAAAGCCTGAGCTAAGAGCTTTCTTGTCCCTTCTCTCTGTAGCCCTCCTATAATTCTTGGTTCTGATAAAGTCAGACTAGAACTTTCTTTCCATATAAACACAGCTTAATTCACCAGCAAGCCATGAGTGTGTGTACTTGTGTGCATGTGCATGTTTGAATGTGGAGAGAGCAGGACAACTTCAGGTATCATCTTCAAGAATGTCTTCCATGCCTTTTGAGCCAATGTCTCTCTTTGGCGTGGAGCTCACCAATTAGGCTAGGCAAACTGACCAGTGACCCTCAAGGATCCCCTCCCTCTGCCTCTGCCTAGATTACAAGCATACACCACTATGCCTAGTGTTTCTAGCATGGCTCTGGAGATCACATCAGGTCCTCCTGCTTAAAAGCCAAGTACTTAAAAGGCAGAATCCCAGGCAGGAAGACATTAATTTTAAAAATTGCATTAATTTATTTAGTGTGTGTATGTGTATGTGTGTATACACCATAGTGTACATGTAGACTTAAGAGGATAACTTATGGGAACTTCTCCATTCTACAATGTGGATGTCAGGGATCAAACTAAGGTCATTAGGATTATGCAGCAAATGTTTTTATCTACTGAGCCATTTACTTAGTCCAGAAAACCTTTTTTTTGTTTTGGTTTTTCAAGACAGGGTTTCTCTGTGTAGTTTTGCACCTTTCCTGGAACTCACTTTGTAGACCAGGCTGGCCTAGAACTCACAGAGATCCACCTGGCTCTGCCTCCCAAGTGCTGGGATTAAAGGCTTGTGCCACCACCGCCCAGCTCATCTCTGGCTTTTAAATCTCCCTGGGCCTTAATTTTCTCATCTGTAAACTAAAATACTCCCTTATTCCTAGGGAGTAACTATATTTATAGTCTGTAAGCTTTCTCTCATCACTGTGGAAATATTTACTCCTGAAAAAATAGGTTCCTTACCCATATGAGCATTTTCTGTAAATTAAAAATCACATTGACCCTCAGATGAAGAATGGATAAAGAAAAATGTGGTAAATTTACACAATGGAGTATTACTCAGCTATT